TTACTTGGAGGTTCAGGGCACCTAGTAGCCCAACTCTAAATGTGGATATAGCCGACGTATAAGCCCCTGAAGTGCCCTAGTGGGTCTAGAGTTGGGTATGTACAGATCTAGTTTGGGTGACGAAGTACCGTGGACCGCCAGACCCCAGCCTTCTGGGGTCTCAAGCCCTCAGCCGCAAACCCCGAAACCCCCAAAGCCAAAGCCCCGAACTCCTTAGCGCCAAGCTCTTGCAACCCTATACCCTATACCCGAAACCCTCAGCCCTAACCCTAAACCCTGATACCCCAAACCCCTCCCTCCACCAGAACTATGCAGGCGATAGACATGTCCGGTCTCCGCGTATTGTGCCCCGGCAGGATCGGGTAGATCCCCATCCCCTAACTCCCCAACCCTCAAATCTGCAGTAGACCCTAAACCCTAAACCCTAAACCCTAAACCCAAAACCCTAAACCCTAAACCCTAAACCCTAACCCTAAACCCTAAACCCTAAACCCTAAACCCTAAGCCCTAAACCCTAAACCCCGAGCCCTCAACTCTACGGTAGCCCCCTGAAACTCGACTTGGAGGTTCAGGGTACTTAGTAACCCAATCACAAAATGCATAATTGGGTACCACGAACCTCCAAGTAGCCCTCTGAATCCTGGACCCTAAAGTCTGAACCCTAAACCTAAACCCTAAACCCTGAACCCTAAACCCTAAACCCTAAACCCTAAACCCTAAACCCTAAACCCTAAACCCTAAACCCTTAAACGTCCAGAGTCATGCCGAGACTTCCCTGATCGGTTCGCGGCAGTGTGGGCCCTTTGTCGTGGCCCCTACCGGGACCCTTGAGGGTTCAGGGTTTAGGGTTTAGGGTTCAGGGTTTAGGGTTTAGGACTTACAGGGTTTAAGGGTTTAGGGTTTACGGTTTAAGGGTTTAGGGCCGCGGGTTTAGGGAAGAAACTCAGCTGAGCTCCGGGCTTGGACTTCTTGGGGTGTCCTCGTCCTGCAACCCGCAAGACCCTCAACCCGTTATCTTCAGTGACTCCAGGAACGCCCAAGCCCGAAACCCCCTCAAGCTCTACTAACCCCAAAAAAACTAGAGCCCTCAGCCCTAAGCCCCCCAAACCTCTAAACCCTAAACCCTAAACCAGCTCGAATCCCTAATCCCTAATCCCGAATCCCTAAACCCTAAACCCTAAACCCTAAACCCTAAACCCTAAACCCTAAACCCCAAACCCTAAACCCTAAACCCTAAACCCCAAACCCTAAACCCTAAACCCTAAACCAACTCTAAAACTCCAAGCCCCAAACCGCCCCAGGCTCTGGCGCACGGCGCAGCAGCTCCGCAGTGAGGGGGCAAGGGGCCCAGCGAACCTCAAGCACATGGAGTTGCAACTTTAGGGTTTAGGGTTTAGGGTTTAGGGTAGGGTTTAGGGTTTAGGGTTTAGGGTTTAGGGTTTAGGGTTTAGGGTTTAGGGTTTAGGGTTTAGGGTTTAGGGTTTAGGGTTTAGGGTTTAGGGTTTAGGGTTTAGGGTCTAGGATTTAGGGCACCCACCGCAAGGGCAACAGCTCAACGGACGAGACATTGTTTTGGATGCCGTGGACATCGGTGCCACTCGCCTCAGCTGGAAGGGAGTGGGGGCTTTCCCGAAAACTCCTAAACCCTAAGCCCTAAACCCAAAAAACCCAAAACCCAAAACCCAAAACGCTAAACCCTAAACCCTGGCGCTCCCTGAAAAACCCTGAGCTCCAGCAAGCCGAACCCCCAACCCGAGACTCTCTAAACCCTAAAACCCTAGACCCTAAACCCTAGACCCTAGACCCTAGACCCTAAACCGTAAACCTTAAACCCCAAAACCCCCGGACCCTTCCCGAGCTCACCATGAAGCTTTCCAAGCTAGATGGAAAGCTTGCGGTGAGGGTTTCGAGGAGGTTCTGAGGAGGTCGCGAGGAGGTTCCGGGGGTTTAGGGTTTAGCGTTTATGGTTTGGGGTTTAGGGTTTAGGGTTTAGGGATTAGTGTTTCGGGTTTAGAGGAGGTTGAGCAGGTTCCGAGCAAGGTCCGACGCGGGCTCCAGGATGGGTTTTGCCATCTGCCCCTATCTGAACCTGGACCGTGCCCCTCACTCAACTGGGACCATGCCCCGTAAGACGCTGTTCAGGGTTTAGGGTTTAGGGGTTAGGGTTTAGGTTTAGGTTTTAGGGTTTAGGGTTTAGAGCATTCTCGGGACCTTTCAATTTCTTTTGCTGTTACTAGTGGTAACTTAATTCAAGTTCCCACCATCAGAAATAGAAGCTTATGGTTATCAGCAGTGGTGCCAATCTGTTCCCATCATCATTTTCTTACCAGTATTGTTGTCATTCGTGTTAGAAGAAGAAGAACAATAACAACATGATCTCATAGGCTTCCGTATTGCCTTAACAGCTAACCCAGAGGATAGGCAGACATATACAAGTGGTCCAGTTGTGAAGAGTATGCGCAGATGCAAAAGCCATGCATATGATAACCCTAAACCCTAAACCCTAAACCCGAAACCCTAAACCCCAAACCCCAAACCCTAAACCCCGAACCCTGAACCCTAAACCCTAAACCCCAAAACGATGAGCCTGTACTACTCAGGTGGTTGTTTCTACGTATCGTCATCAGAATCAGTCGTCATACCAAACCCTAAACCCTAAACCCTAAACCCTAAACCCCAAACCCTAAACCCTAACCCCAAACCCTACGTGGGTTGATTAGTGGCCTCAGGACGTCGCACTCCGCTTGCGGTGGTGGGCTCCATGGCTGCACTTGGGTGGCTTAGGGTTTAGGGTTTAGGGTTAAGGGTTTAGGGTCTAGGGTTTAGGGTTTTGGGTTTAGGGTTTAGGGTTAGGGTTTAGGGTGTGGGGTTTATGGCCCGACGAGGAGTTTGAGAAACTTGCTGGCCAAGGGCTTTTGCCCTTGGCCCTCCAAGGCTTCATCCTAAAGCCCTAAAACCCTAAAACCCTAAAACCCTGAAACCCTAAACCCTAAACCCCTAAGCCCTAAAACCCTAAAGCCCTAAAGCCCTAAAACCCTAAAACCCTAAAACCCTAAAACCCCAAAAGCCTAAAACCCTAAAACCCTAAAACCCTAAACCCTAAAACCCTAAACCCTAAAGCCCTAAAACCCTAAAACCCTAAACCCTAAACCCTAAGCCCTAAACACTGAACCCTGAACCCTAAACGGTTTAGGGTTTGGGGTTTAGGGTACGGAGTTTGGGGTTTGGCGTTTGGGGTGGGGTTTAGGGTTTAGGGTACGGGGTTTAGGGTTTAGGGTTTAGGCTTTTGGGGTTTAGGGTTTGGGGTTTGGGGTTTAGGGTTCAGGGTTCAGGAGTTCAGGTTATGGAGTTTAAGGTTCAGGGTTCAGGGGTTTAGGGGTTTAGGGTTTGGGTTTAAGGGGTTTAAGGGGTTTAGGGTGGTTTTGGGGTTCAATGTCAATCCTTTTCCTTCATGCCTCCCTAACCCTAAACCCTACACCCCCAAAGCCCTAAACCCTAAACCCCAAAAACCCTAAACCCCATAAACCCTGAACCCTAAACCCTAAACCCTAAACCCCTAAACCCCTAAACCCTAAGCCCTAAGCCCTAAACCCTAAACCCTAAACCCTAAACCCTAAACCCTAAACCCTAAACCCTAAACCCTAAACCCTAGACTCAGGCGGAAAGGGATGATGTGGCTGGGTCGCTTTGTCGATGCTGAAGAGGGCCACGGTAAGGCCGCTTGCACAGCAGGTGAGGGTTTGGGGTTTCGGGTTTAGGGTTTAGGGTTTCGGGTGTTAGGGTTTAGGGTTTAGGGTTTCGGGTTTAGGGTTTGGGGTTTAGTGAGGGTTTCGGGCTTTTGGGGGTTAGGGGTTTGAGGTTTAGGGTTCAGGCCTGTGAGCCTCTAAAACCCGAAGCCCTAGAACATCCCCAGAGCACCTAAACGCCTACCTCGAAACCGTAAACCCTGCACCCTAGACACCGAAACCTCTAAACCCGGAACCCCAAACCCTAAACCCTAAACCCGAAACCCCAAACCCTAAACCCCAAAACCCTAGACCCGAAACCCCAAACCCTAAACCCTAAACCCGAAACCCCAAACACTCCAGCTCTAGCCCCTCAAGCCCTCCGAGAGTTGAGGGGCTGAGGGTTTAGGGTTCAGGGTATAGGGTTTAGGGTTTAGGGCCTAGGGTTTAGGGTTTAGGGTTTCGGGTTTGGGAATTAGAGGGTTTAGAGGGTTTATAGTGTTTATAGGGTTTATAGGGTTTATAGGGTGTATAGGGTTTATAGGGTTTAGGGGGTTTAGGGTTTAGGGTTTAGGGTTTAGGGTTTAGGGTTTAGGGCTTAGGGCTTAGGGGTTTCTGTCAAGCGCCCGGTCAGGATCGCCTGGAGGAGATGGTCGTGGGCCTCGAAGAGGCGAGCCGCCTCTCAGGTTCCGGGTTTAGGGTTTTGGCTTCCGGGGGTTTGGGGTTTAGGGTTTAGGGTTTGGGGTTTAGGGTTTAGGGTTCAGGGTTTAGGGTTTAGGGTTTAGGGTTTGGGGTTTGGGGTTTGGGGTTTGGGGTTTGGGGGTTAATGTTGAGGGTTTTGGGTTTAGTGTTTAGGGCTTCAGGGTTTAGGTTTCTTGGTGAGCGTCGAGGGTTTACTGCAACAGGCCGCAAGATCGTCGCACTTAGAGCATAAGGCACAACAAGACAGGAAACCCTAAACCCTAAACCCTAAACCCTAAACCCTAAACCCTAAACCCTAAACCCTAAACCCTAAACCCTAAACCCTAAACCCTAAACCCTAAACCCTAAACCCTAAACCCTAAACCCTAAACCCTAAACCCTAAACCCTAAACCCTAAACCCTAAACCCTAACCCTAAACCCTAAACCCTAAACCCTAAACCCTAAACCCTAAACCCTAGTCCGGCATTAGGTTTTCTTCCAATGATGAGGGTGTCAATCGCGTCCTTGACGACTTCGACTAAATGCGGGCGCGAAGCGAGGGAAACACGCTCATCTCTTCGGACGTTACCGGGATGGACTTTTCGTTGGGCGGGCTGGCACTGTTAGCAGGCTACCGCGCTACTTTGTGCAAGAGCGAAGACAGCGAGCAGTTTGACAGGGCCGCCATCGCCTACGCATACGCCGAAGCGGACCCCATGTATTTGGTCGACAGGACCCTTTACCGGCAGGCGGGACACGGAGTGTGCCAGACGGGGTCTGCTCTGACCAGCGACGTGGATGACAGAGGGAGGGCCATCGACACGCCCTCAACTCTAAACCCTAAACCATAAACCCAAAACCCTAAACCCTAAACCCTAAGCCCTAAACCCTAAACCCTAAACCCCAAACCCTGAACCCTAAACCCTAAGCCCTAAGCCCTAAGCCCTAAGCCCTAAACCCTAAACTCTAACTACACTCCAGGGGCACAGGTCCTCCAACCGATGAGTATGTTGTTATTTCAGGGGGTTAATTCCTCCGCTAGCCAGGCGTGCACGAAACCATCCAGTGCCCCGTTGTCCTCTGTAGGGCTTGTATAGCCAAGTGCCAAAAAGATTTTATTCCCGGTCATGTAGGAGAAATCTCAGCCCTCATCTGGTACACCCTATCTATGATTGGGGCTTCAACCTAAACCCTAAAAACCCTGAAGCCCCAAAAAGCCAAAAAGAAGCGCAAGGGCCCTAAAGCCCCCAGGCTGTAAATCCTTCAACCCATCAACCCAATAGTTCCAAAATCCCAAGCCCCTTAAACCCTAAACCCTGCTAGACCCTAAAACTATGAAAGCCCTAAGTAGTATCCCCGAGAAACCCCTATGACAATCCCCATACCCACCACTTACTAACCCTACTTACTAAGTCAAAGGGCTTCCAAGTAGCCGTAAGCCCTAGACCCTAAACCCCAAACTCTGCACCCTAAACCCTAGACCCCAAGCCCTTAACCCTAAAGCCACTGCTTTGCAGAGCCCGGGCACTCCCCTCTCAACCGGGGCAAAGGTTTGGGGTTTAGGGTTCGGGGATGTTTGGGGTTTAGGGTTTGGGGTTTAGTAGGATTTGGGGTGTATTAGGGTTTAGGGTTTAGGGTTAGGGTTTAGGGTTTAGGGGTTAGGGTTTAGGGTTTAGGGTTTCGGGTTTAAAGTTTAGGGTTTTGGGGTCTAGGGTGTCGGGGTTTGTGGCTGGCAACCTACTCCTAGACACGGAACCTCAAGCTCCACACCTTTCCCCAGCCACGTGAGGACCGCACCTTCGACGGATCCGATTTGCGGCGCCATGACCACTTTTTCGATCACAGGCGAGGGTTTAGGGTTTAGGGTTTAGGGTTTAGGGTTTAGGGTTTAGGGTTTAGGGTTTAGGGTTTAGGTTTAGGGTTTAGCATCTCAACTCCAAGCATTTCACTAGTAGAGCTCCTTGCTCCGGTATCGAATATCGACCCACCCACCCATTGGATCCCATAACATTATGAACCCTAAAGGCAGCCCAGAGTAGGGCCTAAACCCTAAAGCCAGCCCAGAGTAGGCCCGAAACCCTAAAGCCAGCCCCGAGTAGGCCCTAAACCCTAAAGCCAGCCCAGAGTAGGCCGTAAACCCTAAAGCCATGTCCGAGTACGTAGGCCCTAAACCCGAAAGCCAGGCCCTAAACCCTAAAGGCAGCCCAGAGTGGTGCCTAAACCCTAAAGCCAGCCCAGAGTAGGCCTTAAACCCTAAAACCAGCCCTGATGGCCATGCCTGCCCCACCCCACCCCACCCTTGATCATCCTCTTCTGGTCCGGGAATTTTTGGTGTTTGTCCGGGAATTTTTGGTGCTCGTCCGGGAATTGTTGGTGCTTGTCCGGGAATTTTTGGTGCTTGTCCGGGAATTTTTGGTGCTTGTCCGGAAATTTTTGGTGTTTGTCCGGGAATTTTTGGTGCTGGTCCGGAAATTTTTTGTGCTTGTCCGGGAATTTTTGGCTCTTGTCCGGGAGTTTTTGGTGCTTGTCCGGGAATTGTTGGTGCTTTGTCCGGGAATTGTTGGTGCTTTGTCCGGGAGTTTTTGGCGCTTGTCCGGGAGTTTTTGGCGCTTGTCCGGGAATTTTTGGTGGTTGGCCGTGAATTGTTGCTTGTCCGGGAATTTTTTGTGCTTGTCCGGGAATTTTTGGCTCTTGTCCGGGAATTTTTGGTGCTTGTCCGGGAATGTTTGGTGCTTGCCCGGGAATTTTTGGTGCTTGTCCGGGAAATTTTTGTGGAAAACCGCGAATCCATTAGCTTTTAAATATACATAGGTTAGAGAGTGTTTAGGGTGTAGGGTGTAGGGTTTAGGGTTTAGGGTTTAGGGCTTAGGGTTTAGGGTATTGTTTCGAGCTCAGGTTTTAGGGAGGCTCCTGGGATAAAGCTGAGGCAAACAGTAGGGAAAGTGTTTTTCTGGTTCTGACGGGGTTCCTTATGAACCAAATCCGTAGGGCGAACCCGGAACCCCAAAACCCTAAGCCCCAAAACCCTAAACCCTAAACCCTAAACCCTACACCCTAAACCCTAAACCCTAAACCCTAAACCCTAAACCCTAAACCCTAAACCCCAAACCCTAAACCCCAAACCCTAAACCCTAAACCCTAAACCCCCAAAACCCTCTCTCAAAGCGTTCCAAGAGCAGGCAAAGATCCGAGTGGGCCTCTGGTAGGGAGGGACTCACAGCTTGGGGTTAGGGTTTAGGGTTTAGGGGGTTCTAGGGTGAAAGGAGGCGAGTGCGTCTACTGTGGGTTGACATGTGCCGTCGAGGCCGAGGACGCCGCACGCCCTTAAGCCGAAGCCCTAAACCCTAAACCCTAAACCCTAAACCCTAAACCCTAAACCCTAAACCCTAAACCCTAAACCCTAAACCCGAAACCCTAAACTCTAAACCCTAATGCAGGAAGACAGGCATGCACGGCGGCCATGCAGGCTCGGCTCTTAGCTCGGGGTACAAGGGGAGGTATAAGGGGAGGCATAAGGGGGGTATAAGGTATAAGGGGGGTATAAGAAAAGGTATAGGGGGAGGTATAAGGGGAGGTATAAGGGGAGGTTTAAGGGGAGGTATAAGGGGGGGGGAAAAATGGGGTTGTTGGGCCGAAAGCCCGAAAGGGCCTCTGTTGTTTTGGCTTAGGGCTTAGGAATTAGGGTTTCGGGCTTAGGGTTTCGGGCTTTAGGGCTAAGGATTCAGCGCTGCAGCTAAGTTATCTTCTGGGGCTTTGGCCAGCATTCGGGGTAGAACATGTGCATGATGAGAACTCAGTCTGCCAGGCTCAGGGCTTGTGGCATAGAGTTCTGTTCTCAACTGCTCGAGAGCCTACCCCTGGACTTAGCTTGCTTGAAGATTTTTCAAGTGGGGCTGTCTTTCTTTAAAAAGGACCAACATCCTTAGCAACGAAAATGGCTAGGAGGTCTCCCGGTGCCAACACTACGTTAGGGCTCAAAGGGTTTGAGGGCCCCTAGTTAACCCTTCTGTGCGTTGCCGGATGAGGGTGCACGCGCTGAGGGGGCCGGGACTCTGGTGGCCAACATATACCATCTGAATCGACACAGGTCTTCACTATCCGTCAAACCTTCTGTTACAATACGGAGCCATACATTCAGGGTTATGCACCCACGTGCGCCTTGTCCCCTCTCCCTAAACCCTAAACCCTAAACCCTAGTTCCTAAACCCTAAACCCTAAACCCTAAACCCTAAGCCCTAAACCCTAAGCCCTAAGCCCTAAGCCCTGAACCCCAAACCCTGTCGGAGCAAGGCATGCACTTCGGCAGCCCGGTTTTGGGGGAGCGGAAGGCCCCCATCCACCACAACTGGCGCAAGATCCAGGAGGCAAGTTGAGGCCCTAAACCCTAAACCCTAAACCCTAAACCCTAAACCCTAAACCCTAAACCCTAAACCCTAAGCCCTAAGCCCTAAACCCTAAACCCTAAACCCTAAACCCTGAACCCTGAACCCTGAACCCTGAACCCTAACCCTAAACCCTAAACCCTGAACCCTGAACCCTGAACCCTGAACCCGAAACCCTAAACCCTAAGGGCTTCTTTCCCTGTGCATCTGATGGTTGAGAAGCGCCAAGACATTCTATTCAAGGTGTGGACCAGCTCTAGAATCCCAGAATTTCCCAAGGGTTTAGGGTTTAGGGTATGCTGCGCATCAGACTGCTCTCCGCCACAGAGATAAATTCGCTTGTAAGATGAATACGGGGGCGTGCACATAATTAATAATAGAAGAGCCAGCTTTTCACTTCATTGCATTTCCTCCGTAAACCCGAAGCCCTAAACCCTAAACCCCTAACCCTAAACCCTAAACCCTAAACCCTGGCCATGTAACTACCCTAAGATACAAGCTGCACTCGAAGGCAATCGGGACATTGGGCGTGATCCTCTTCTGCCTCCTCCTGGGCTCCGTGGCCGTTGTGGTGGCACCCTGGCAGCGCTAGGGTTCAGGGTTTAGGGTTTAGGGTTTAGGGTTTAGGGTTTAGGGTTTAGGGTTTAGGGGTTAGGGTTTAGGGTTTAGGACTTAGGGTTAAGGGATTTAATTAGGGGGGTTGGACGGGAAAATGCAAAGCCTGTTGTGGGCTACTTTGGGGCATGGGGAGATTAGGCGGGGGTTCTGAAGCCCGCGGGTGCTTGTGGCATTTTATCCTGGCTCGAGCTCTTGGGGTTAAATCCCTGAACCCTCTGAGAACGAACTCCATGATCTGGCGTGTTCTGCTCTTGCTGGCGCATCTGAAGCCCCTCCAGGGCTTCTCGAAGCTTTCCCGGACTTCCCCGAGTCTTTGTCATAGTTGGGCACCATTTTACATTTTTAAGGGTACTTCATTAAACCCAATAAGGAACCCTAAACCCGAAACCCTAAACCCGAAACCCGAAACCCTAAACCCTAAACCTTAAACCCTAAACCCTAAACCCTAAACCCTATAAGGAATATCCCAGCCATGAACTAGGAGTCAGCAGAACGCCAACGCGCACCTCTCCATCCTAACTGGCGCTCTGCAGGATGGTGCCTTGCCTGGGACATTCTCAAACCAGTCAGCGCATGAGGCTAGGTTGGATTTTGGGACATTTCTATATTTTCTTTCCTTTTGTGGTTTATAAGGGACATTTTGTATTTTCCTTATCTGGGTTCCTATATACAAAGATTTTCAGAGGGTTTAAAGGGCAACCCAGGAGGGTAAGGTCCTCGGCCAGGCGCTGGCGCCGATGAAGAAGACGCTGCCGGATAACCTCGGCGTTGTGCTCCGCTCTTTCTCCGTGGTGGCGGTGGCGGAGCTATTTGATAAGACCTGGTTCGTGGCCCTGATTTGTGCCATGAACTACGGCAGAAGCCGCGCCTTCCTTGGCGCGTACGCGGCGCTCGTCGTACACGTGCTGCTGGCAGCGGTGCTGGGCGTTGCCATCGCCCAGCTCTTTCCGGTGCAAGTGCTCTGCTTTACCACGGCGGCCGTCTTCTTGCTTCTGGCCCTAGCTTATTTCATCGACTTTTTTGGGGCAGGCAAAGATGATGACGTGATCCAGGAGCGAACAGGTGAAGCACAAGAGGCATTGCAGGGTGGAGAGGAGAAGAGAGCGCAACCTTGGGGAGACGTCATCCTGCGCGTCTTCATCGCGGTCTTCATTGCCGAGTGGGGAGACAGGACGCAACTAGGTAGGGTTTTTGGGGACATCTGACATTTTCCCTTCTTGGGTTTAAGAGGATCCTATTCAGGAATATATGAATATAAATATAAATATAGATATAAATATAAATATAAATATCAATATAAATAGACATATATATATATATATATATTCAGGAATATATATATATATATACACACTTTTTTTCTGAGGTTTTTAAGGGCCATCCGAGGCAAGTGGCCATGGTGTCCCTCCACTCCTCGGCTCCCTGGGTTCCCGTCTGCCTCGGATCGATGTTGGCCTTCCTGGTCCTCACGCTCAGCGCGGTGCTTGCGGCTTCACTGCTGGAAGCTCGGTGGGCCCTTAAGGGAATTATGTGTATATATATATATGTAAATAAATATGTATGTATATATATATGTATATACCCTTTATCGGGTTTAAGAGGACGATAGTTAGGAACATTTTTCAGATTTTCTCTTACCGGTTTTAAGAGGAGTAATATTTAGGAATAGTTTTTTTCAGAGGGCTTTAATGGGGGCCATCCAAGGAAGGTACGAAGCTGAGCGAGAGGCTTGTGTCAGGGCTGAGTGCCTGTAGCTTCCTCTTGTTTGCCGTCTTAGCCGTTCGAGACGGCATATCGGCGAGCAGGTCATAGCGGAAGTGAGAGAAGTTCGCTGTGGAGCCACGTGCAAGCGAGAAGTACGGCTCGCAGCTGTACCCTCCGAGTTTTGGCCCCCCTTGTGCTAGCTGCGCTGTGGCTGCGTGACGGGTGGATACTTTTAGGAACCTTGGTTCCTGCTGCTTCGTTTTCTTTGGGGCCGGTAAATCGGTAGGACTGAGTTTCACAGGGATCGGGAGGACTGATCTCGCATGGATCGCATTGTGGGAAGAGTCAATCTTGAGTTGAACCTCCTTCTTATCCAGAGGGTCCATTTGTAGTACTATTAGGAATTAGGGACACCAAAACCCTGTTTAGTATGGTTTTTGGGTGCCTAGTTCCATAACAGCAGTATCCATGGACCCTCTGGGTTCTGACTCTCGCACCATTGCTGCCGGAACATTTAATCTGGGCCGTTCAATGTCCTTATGGTTGAAGGTCACCAGGGGCGGTACGTAGGTAATCCTAGTATTGCCCAACTGCCCCCGTAGTACTCCACCCCTTACAAAACCTTCCATGCACCCTCTAAAACCCAAGAGTCCAGGGGCCATATTGAGGGACCATGTAGCCTCCCTTAGACTAAGGCTCAGGGTTTAGGGTTTGGGATTGCTGTACCTCCCTCAGACCCTCCCACCCCCAAAAGCTTGTAAAGGGCCGTGGGCTCTGCTGTGTTCGGATTCCAAGATCCAGACCCCTAATCCCTACAAGCCAACTTAGAAACCTAAACCCTAAACCCTAAACCCTAAACCCTAAACCCTAAACCCTAAACCCTAAACCCTAAACCCTAAACCCTAAACCTTAAACCCTGAACTCTCAGGCCACTACCGCTTGGGCCAAGCTCCTCTTCTTCACTAGCACGGCAAGGCAAGCGCTGCTCAAGGAGCTCGGTGGAGGGTTTAGGGTTTAGGGTTTAGGGTTTAGGGTTTAGGGTTTAGGGTTTAGGGTTTAGGGTTTAGGGTTTAGGGTTTAGGGTTTGGTTTAGGGCTTGGGGTTTAGGTTTGGTTTGTCTTGGGGGCGCCTGATAGTGCCTGGTAGGTGAAGGGTTTGTATTGGGATGCAGGCGTTAGCGTTTAGGGTTTGTGGCTTGAGGCTTTGGGGGTTAGGGTTTAGGGTTTAGGGTTTCGGGTTTAGGGTTTAGGGTTTGGAGTTTGGTGCTTGGTGCTTACAGTTTGGGTTCGGCCTCTAGGGTCTTCGCAATCAGTTCTTATTTGCGGGTCACCGTACTTCTGACCCCAATTCCGAGCCGCAAGCCGCCATAACCCAAAACCCAAAAACCCA